GCTATTTAACAGAGTACTAAAAGTCTTAGCAATCAGACAACAAAAAGAAATAAAAGGCATCTGAATCAGCAGAGAATCAAACTCTCACTCTTTGCAGATGACATGATACTTTATGTGGAAAACCCAAAAGACTCCACCCCAAAACTGCTAGAACTCATACAGGAATTCAGTGAATTGGTGGGATATAAAATTAACACACAGAAATCAGCTGCATTTCTATACACTAACAATGAGACTGAAGAAAGAGAAATTAAGGAGTCGATCCCATTTACAATTGTACCCAAAACCATAAGATACCTAGGAATAAGTCTAACCAAAGAGGCAAAGGATCTGTACTCAGAAAACTAGAATTTTCATGAAAGAAATTGAGGAAGACACAAAGAAATGGAAAAACATTCCATGCTCATGGATTGCAAGAACAGATATTGCTAAAATATCTATGCTACCTACAGCAATCTATACATTCAATGCAATCCCTATCAAAATAGTATCAACTCTTTTTCACAGAGCTGGAACAAATAATCCTAAAATTTGTATGGAACCAAAAAAGACCCTGAATAGCCAAAGGAATGTTAAAAAAGAAAAGCAAAGCTGGCGGCATCACAATTCCAGACTTCCAGCTCTATTAAAAAGACATACCAAAGCTGAACTTTATGAGAGAGGCGGCCTTGAGTTTGTCACTCCCAACCTAAGACCTCAAATACAATGAATACAATACAATGTATTCATTGTATGTAGTCATGCACCCAGCTCTAGACACCTGCCACCATAACCTCCTCGATGAATGAACCTGTCACTTGGACTAATTTGCAACCAGAAGCTCCTGGAATCCACTTCATGGTGCTGACTGTCGTGAGTCGGCCTCGTGATATGTGAATTATTTGATATGGCCCAGAATGCCCAGGAAGCAGATGGCTTCCGACACCCCCCTGGATGAGTCACACATGTGGTGTGTGACCATATGGTGGGGCAGAAAAGATCTTGACCCTAATGCATCTATAGAACATGTTTTTTTTTTTTTTAATCAAAATAAATTTATTAAAAGTATGCAGAGACTGCTGCAAAGCTGAGCTGCCCCCAGGACTGTTTTTGGACACTCTTAATGGGCACTGCTGTTTTCTACAGAACTGCATTCATTGTATTATACCTCTTGACATTTCAAGAAACAAATATTTATACCTTCCTGACGTCGTAGATGTTAAAGAAACTTACTGTGGTGATCACTTTGCAATATGTATCAAATCATCACGATTTTATCAAATCACGATATGTATCAAATCATCATGATATGTATCAAATCACCACAATATGCATCAAATCATCATGCCCTATCTTCTAAACTCACAAGACATTGTACGTCAATTATAACTCAGTAAAACTTGGGCACATACATACCTCTATATTCCAGTTTTACTGAATGTCAAATATATATTCCAGTTTTACTGAGATATAATTGACATGTGACGCATTAAGTTTGAGGTGCACCACATAATGATTTGATACACGTACATATTGCCAAGTGATTGTCTCGGTATGTAACAGATAGACACACATATGGAAGAACACGATGACGATCAGTCATGCACTCTGTAACACAGCCCGGAACAAACTTCTGGGGTGCAGCCTGCAGTCACTCATAGGAATTGTTCTGCAGCAAAACAGAAGGAGTATTTGCATTCTGTGGGATGAAGAAACACTTCAACTCTACATCAGTTTTACGTTCACTGATGCAGAACTGCCAAAAATAAGCTACCCAAAAAACATGGTTTCCAAGCCTTTTATTTTCTTTGTTCTTGTTGGTTATGGACAAAGGGCTGTAGATCTGTAACGCAGAAGGGAGGACTTGGAAACGAGTCTTGGAGCGCCTAGGTGGCTCAGTTGGTTAAGCATCTGACTTTGGCTCAGACATGATCCCAGGGTCCTGGGATCAAGTCCCGCATCAGGGTCCCTGCTCAGCGGGGAGTCTGCTTCTCCCTCTGCCCCTCCCCACCAGTTACCCTCTCTCTCTGTCAAATAAATAAGTAAAATCTTAAAAAAAAAGGAAAGGAGTCAAGACACCAGGCACTGGGGAGGCCCGTCCATGCTGAAAAGGATTCTGGCCAAGTCACTTGAACTTGTGTAAGCCCACATTTCCCTCGTGACAGAAGGGGCAATCAGGGACACAGGAAACTCATGCCCGATAGTGATCCAGGTCAGACCAGCTGGGATAACCTCCGGCACCACCAACAAGCCTCCTGGAACCCTGGCAAACAGCTGAGAAGAGGTGACGAGGCTGATCTCCACACCTCCAACTCAGCAACTCTACACCGGGGGCGGCTTTTCCTGCCCAGGAAACACTTGGAATGTCTGGAGACAATTTTGCACTGGGGTGGCACTGTGATGGGGCATGTACTGGGTAGAGTCTAAACATCCTACAAAGGCTGAGAAACCTCGGAGCAGACAAATCACTTGTAACCGGGGCCATCTCAGTCCTGCGTCTGTCTCTGGACGAGACCTCCCCCGGTCCTGGAACCCCTCAGAGGAACTCCCCCCCGCCCCCCCACCGCCCCGTTGCACCTCCGTGCTTTCTATCAGAGTGGAAAGTCAAAGGCGCTACAGTGAATTTGCCTGGTGTGAGTCTCTGCCCTATACTTCCTCCTCATTAATAAGCACTTAATTATTACTGACATTGGCCCCTACAGTATTTACATGGAGTGTTTGTGTTCCCACTTGGACAACTCCGGAGGTAAGACTGGACTTCTGTTTCATCATCGCAAAATCTTTCATTACCTGAATCCCAAGGGTGCGAGGTAAGGGCTTGTTGACTCAGTGACCAAGTTTTACAGGGTTAATTTCCAAACAAGGTAGGAATTTTAATGAGAGGACAAGATACAAACAAAACAATAGATACGGAGAGTGGTCTGGAGAACACGTCTTCGGATTTTTACCCACAAACTTTTAATGTTTACTTTAATCAGCCCTTTAAGGGATGCCTGACATTTACTGCTCACTTTTAAATGCAGACAGAAGGAAGGCCTTGTATCTTTTTTGTTTTTGTTCTTTCCCCATGCACTGAAAGCTTTTACATTTCTGGATCCTGATATCATCAGTTGTTAGGTTATAATCTCATTATACATGAATATGGGGCAATTTCTCAGTTGGTAAATATTAATGTCACTGTGGACACCAATTCATAGGGATAATCTGTCAGGTACTATCATGTGTTTGTTGAGACAGAGTGCCTGTCGTAAATGACCATAAAATAGAATAATCTCTCAGTAAGTGTTTCACCATTTTTAGTGACATCATCTCCAAAGACAATTCTTTTTATCACCCCTCCACTTCAATCCTCAAGGCTTAGCTCAGAGGATGGAATCCGTGCATACTTGAGAAATGTCCAGGGGCGCCTGGGCGTCACAGCGGGTTAAACGTCCGACTCTTGATTTAGGCTCAGGTCATGGGATGGAGCCCCGTGTCAGACTCTGCGCTCAGTGGGGAGTCTGCTGGAGACTCTCTCCCTTTGCCCCTCCCTCCGTCCCTCTCTCTCAAATCAATAAATAAATCTTAAAAGAAAAATGTTGATACCCAGATAAGAAGCAAGCAAGCACGTGACATCATAATTAACTAGGATCATTCATTTGGACGATAGCATGGAGGGTTTATCTAGAAAGGATTGTACACATTCCTTAGCATCTCTCTCTGCAAAAAAAAAAAAAAAATCATACATTTGGCTGGCTCATGATTGCTAGATTATGTACGGCATGCATTACAAAGGTCACGCTCTCCCGGATGCTTACCTCCTGTAAGCGATATACATTTTCAGGACAAAGAGCGGTCAATTTCTGAGCCACATAACGTTCCTTGCTTAACCCTGCTCCTTTGTAAAGACGGCCTACACAGCCCAACACAATCTCCAACACTCGAGTAATGAAGCCTGCAGCCTAGAGCAAAACCAACACAACTTGCTAAGCCACAGATCGACTAACTGGGATCACTTGTGCTCTGCTTCAAGGGGTTCATGACAGATCTTGTATCTGTACACTTAAAATGAAAAATATATTATTTCAAAAAATTTATTTTTTAATTAATTTATTTATTTATTTTTTGAAAGAGAGAGAGGGAGAGACAGCCTTCACAGCAGAGGGAGAGAGAGAAGCAGACTCCCTGCTGAGCAGGGAGCCCGATGTGGGACTCGATCCCAGAACCCTGGGATCATGACCTGAGCTAAAAGCAGATGCTTAACTCACGGAGCCACCCAGGCGCCCCAAATATTTCAAAAAATTTTTGTAAAAAGCTTAAGCAAAGAGAACTGCTATGAGTTCTGTCTCAGATTTACTCTTTAAGAAAGCAATGAGTCGTAAGCTTAGGATAACACCAATGTTTCCCAGCATACGCTTGATGGCAGATACATCTTATTTGCATTCATTCTATCTAACTCGGAAGCACTGGTTCTAATATTTTGATACATAAAGTTAATTCAATTTCTCTTCCGAGTAAGCTACAGCACAAAATGCAGCTCTTTATTTGCTCATTTCCTCTTGGGTTTCTTGCCTCTGGGCTCTCCTTCTTTGTATCAAGCCTGTGTTTTCAAACTACCACTTTAATCCGGAAAGAAAGAGTATTTCGCAATTGCTTTCTTCTCCTGAAAAGACCTCCCTCCCTGCCCTGTTTCAGGGCAAAGGAACAAATGAAAACAGATGAATTATTGTAGGTGGTTCTACAGGTTTTTAAAAAAATGTCACACAACAGGTAGGAAGGCACATACTTTCATTATTCCCCCAGAAGATCCCTGAAAATGCTTTCTCCCGCAGTAGCTAAGACTTGGCTCGACCACTTCTTTAATGAACTCTCCCCCTGCATGCTGTTTAAGGATTCCAGAAAGGGGCAGAAAAAGAAACTCTCAGATTTCGTTAGAAGCAAGAACACTAGGCTAACTATTCCCCGGTAGCCGTTTGCTGGACATCATTTATCTCAATATCTCAGCAGCAGAAAAACAACGGCAAAAAATTAATCCAACTCACCAGTTCCTGCGAGGCTTTCCGACAGGGTGCTTGCTAGGAGACTCGACGATACCCTTCCTCCCAGGACCTCACACAGCTTTTCAAAGAACCATGCTGGACGGCACCCAGCCCAAAGCTCCGGGGGTGTGAATAATGATGAGACAACCCGGCTGGGTTCCACTAACCATCCTCGGCCACACAGTCATCACGGGGTGGTTGGTGAATCCATCATAAAAAAGTTATTTAACTGCTTGTATGTGTGCATTTGGTCCTTCCTCACACCCTACATGGTTTACTTCTAAATCAGAGGGAAGATGCACTTCCTGAACAGAGCACATCAATCACAAGGTAGCTCTCATTTCGTTAAAGACGTGTATCAGTTTCGAACGCCTGACTGCAAACTTTGTTCACCTGTCGGCGTGCTCAGGTGGGGAAGACAAAACAAAACAAAACCCCGGACGTGCACTGAGCGTTTGCTGTGCTGACGTGCTGTATCCCAGCACCAAGGCTGGGTACGTGGCTGAGGGTGCTGATGGCTGGGGAGACGTCCTCAACACTCTGTGGATAGCCTGCTGCACAGAAGCCCTGTAAGCCTGTCTGTTAGGTGACTTACACCTACCTACACAGCCCACACGGCCCCAAGGAATTCATTCTCCTTGTCAACACCGAGGGTTAGGCGGTGAGCAAGGTCACCACGGAGCTCCGTGGGTGGCAAGAAGGTAGGCATGCCATCCACCGTGATGACATGCGCAGGGAGTCTCCACTCCCACGTCCTGGGGGGGAAATCACACCCCAGGAAAAAAAAAAAAACTTCCAGGGTTTTTCTCTTTCATATTTCCCCTCCCGTCATTCATTGTGTTTCATTTAGGAGAAGAAAACAAAGGTAAAGCCAAGCTCTGCATCTTTGTTTTCATTATTCCACGTCTATAAATAAAACATTACTCATTTTTAATGATTTTGTGTGTCTCCAGGTCCTGGTAGGCACTCAAATAATTAATACATAATGTAGCGGATGCTAACGTATTTCCCATTCTTAACAGTAACCCCAGATGCCAGTGCACCAAAACCTGAAGAAATATTTTATCCTGAATGACCAGGACCCAGATGTCATCACAAGGTGACGTCTGGCCTCCTGGGGTCTCTATAAAACTTCTGTGTTGGAGAGAAGTTTTATGAGCTCTTGGTCCAAACTCTAGCATGCCCCAGGATGCTTCTAGCCGCTGAACGCCATAAAGCTCAGAATGCAATGTCTAGGGCAATACCGAAACGCTACCCCTTTGATGCCCGGGTGAGTCACCCCCAGCAAAAGCATGGTTTTGGTGGTCCCGGAGGGGTGCATGCGGAGAGCAGCTCTGGCTTTCTCATTCATGGCCCAGCGCATCCTCAGCTGCTGTTACAGTTCCAGCGCAGGGAGCGTGGAAGGAAAGATGGGGCCAAAGGGGCAGAAAGGTCTCCTCTCAACAGTCCTACTGAGAGATGGCTTCAGGCACACTGGAAACAGACCCTCCCTCTGAAGGGTGTCTTCACGGGTTCTTGAGAGTCTTGCAGGTGACTCTTGCCCATCCACAAGCTGGTGGTACCTTCTCTACTGGAGCTCCCCCACCTTCCTCATGCTCAGAAGATGTCTTACTGAGCAGGAGTTCAAATGGCTGCAAGCCTTCCCCTGGGCTGGTCCCCGTCTAGTCACCGAGGTGGTCGGGTTGTGTATCTTTGCTGCCGAGAGTGAGCCTCTATGAGCACCTGGAGCCTCTCCAGCTTCCTCACTCGGGATCAGGTGCCAGCCCCTTGTGCCCAGAGATGCACAATCAGATCTTATCCTCTGTAAGCAGTCTCGCCAAATCCTCCTCATCAGGCCGGGGTACAGACAGGAGCGCGGCACCCTCGGGGCGGGGGCAGGATGCCAGTGCCAAAGAAACCCCTTCACAAGCCCCTCCTGTCTCCTTCTGCACCCCTGCTCCAGGGCCACCGAACCCACGGGGATCCGGGCTACCTACACCAAAGATTCCCCTCCTCCCCACTTTATTTCTTTGCCCCTCTCCCGATGCTTTCAACCTAGTTCCTTACTACGATAAATATCCCCCCAGAATGATTTACCTTAGAAAGTACAAGGAGGACTTGGAGGCAGATGGACATGAATTCAGTTCTGACGCTGGTACTGGCTTGCTGTGTGACCTCAGAAAAGCACTTAACCTCTCTGAGCACCAGGCCTCTTTTCTGTGGGGCAGGCAGAATACTATGCTTCCAGGGAAGCATATCGATTAGGGACAATCACCCAGGGCACAATGCCTGGCACTTAAATAGACCCTCGTTGTTGGAACACTTTAGTTTACGGAAGTGAAAATGTTTCACTTGAAAGAACTATGTAAACCGCTCTGCTTTGGGGTCATGAAAAGAAGAGGCTTTGTTTTATTAATTCACGTAGGTACTTAAGGAAGTTGTTCAGTGCTGAACCTAGCTGCTGTCTGACGGCCCTCTAATGGGGCTGGCATCACAGACATAACACGGGAACCCTCAAGCCAAAACCAGGTATGCCTTCTCACTCTGAACTCTACACAGGAAGAGCCCAGTGGAGACACTGTTGCTGGAAAATTCTCAACTCCCACAGAACTAGGGCGCAATGCAGTCATTCAGGGATTAGTAAGCAAAGACTCATTCTCCAAGACCGAACCTAAAGACCAAGACTTGGTCATTAGGGCCTTGAATCAAGGAACAAGCATCTCAATGCAAATCAGGCAACTGGACCAGCAACATGGTGCTCACAGAAGGGTTCTTGTCTTAGCCACATGGGGAGGAGAGGGTGTGGAGCCCCAGACTCCACTATGCAGTCTTCCTGTTGTATGATCTACAGCGACCCAGCACTATCTGTGTGTGGCTCTCTGTACATCCAGGATGAACCTGGTTGTTCTCCAGCAAGCCATCCACCACCTTCGTAAAGCCCAGAAATGCTAAACCATCTCTCATCTTGAGACGCTCCCTGGTGATCACAATGAATGTTCCTGGGCAGCAAAGAAACCCACGTGGGGAAAGCCCCCCACCCCCATGCAATTCCTACGTGACACGGACAGGCGCCGAACAAAGAAGACAGATGGACATTCCTGAGTTGTTTCCGGGTAGCTGCTTTCGGTCATTTATGGTTTCCAATTACCATGCAATCCTCATTGTTCAGGAGCATTGTGCGCAAATCACGCCCTGCTCTTTGATATAATACATTCTGGGGTGTGAAGCTTTATGAAGTCCTGGTGTATCACCTTCCCTTAAATGGCACTGTGGTCCACTCATGGAGGAAGGACTTATAGGAAGTGATTGCATCTGAGGTTCATCCAGAGGAGCTGAAATGGCCCTGGGGAACCGACTTGAAATACATGCTTTTTCAATGTTATCTCTTGCACGTTAAATATAGTGGGAGCCAACAAACACATTCAATGGAAGTGTGCCCACAGAAGAACACATTTATGGTATCTGTTTGATCCACCCATTTCACTTAAACTATTATACAACTCTCAGATCTGTGCAATTATATGTATACACATACACACACACGTTATATAGAGAAAACTTCCCTCTGAAGGTTCTTAAGGGCACAAACACATCCATTTACATATATGATGCACGTGTACATGTTAGTCTGTTGAAATGATATGTAATGACTTCTATTCATAGGTTTTTGAAGACCACAAACACATTATTTATAAGAATACATGACATAAATATGTGTATATGGAAGATAAATATAATTAAATTTTATATATTTATTCAAGTTTCTTAAAAACACATACAACGAGGGGCATCTGGCCGGCTCAGTCATTAGAACATGCAACTCTTGATCTCAGGGTCGTGAGTTCAAGCCCCATGTTGGGCACAGAGATCACCTATGGAAACAAAAGAAAACACCCCCCTCCACACACACACACCTAGATCATCTACATACACGACATCAATGTGCATGTCTGTATGTCTATACATATAGACACACACATCCCCTTGCTCTTCAGATCCTTGAAATCCAGGTACTGTTCCAGGTACTAAAGATTCTCATCCCGTACAATTCATTATGTAGATTTACTCTGCCGTCTCAACGTGTTAGGTGTCACAAAGACGAGTTCAGATCCCAAAGTCATACTCAACGATTGCTTCCGGTCACATTCAGACACTGCTGATGCTGCTGAAGGGGTTCTAACCAAGCTTCCCCAAAATTGATCATTTTGACTCATGGATCACTTTGAGCTGAAAACAATCATGATCCTGCGGGCTCAAGAGAAACTTTGGCCCATCCCTTAACTGCCTAGAAGAACCTAAATGGGGGATCTTTCCCAGAATGAGAGTTATTATCAGAGATAAGTCTTATCTGAGCAACCCATCCATGTGGCAGGGCAAACATCTAATTACCAAACACATTCTTATTGCCCTGTGAACTGCCCTCCTCCCCTTGGAGGCCCCCATCCCATTCCTTAGCTCGGGATGGCACAGATATCTCATTTTACCTTTCTGACTTGGAACCTCTCATGTATGTGGGGTTCTTGTACCGATGAAATTAAATTTGATTTTTCTCCTGTTAATCTGTCTCATGGCAAGTTAATTCTGACACCAGCTGGAAGAATCTATGAAGGGTAGAGTAAAATTCCTTCTCCCCAACTGCCATTATGGATTTATACCCAAACTGCACGAGAAAAAACAAAACAAAATAAAAAACGTTTCTTCTTTTTCTTCTTGTTTACTTTTTGAACCTTTTTCTTTTTTTTCCTGCTTTTGTTGTTGTTTGTTTTTTTGCTGGTGGTTTCCACAATATTTTTTCCTTTTTTTTTTTTTTTTGGTACAATCATAAATGTATTTGGTTTTCACATTAGTTGTGTATTAGGGTTATAGTTTTGATTACTTACCCACAATATAAAACATTTTAAAAGTACGTAGAGAGGGACATGGGTGGCACATCGGGCTCCCTGCTTGGTGGGGAGACTTCTCCCTCTCCCTCTGCTGTGCTCTCTCTCTCTCTCTCAAATAAATAGAATCTTAAAAAAAAAAGTATATAAAAAATGTAAAAACAGTTCTGCTTGTTGCTTGTTTTCGAGGAAGCAAGACCAATTTGGGCTAGGACTCCACCCTGCTCCTTCTCAGGTGTGTGGCCTGAGGCGACGCAGTTAACCTCTCTCAAGCTCCATTAGCTCATTTATACATAAGAATAATTACACTGCCTCCCCAGCAAGGTTGTTGACACGGTTTATAAAGCAGTGAGCATGTCCTACTCATTGGAGGGCTGGTGGCTTTTACTACAGTTGTGATGCAACGGAAGGCCAATTTTAACCACGAACACCCAATCATCCTTTCCTGTGGACTCTCCACACCTGTCTTATA